CACGTTGGAGCCGAATTCCTAAATAAAAATGATAAAAAAAAACATTTTTTTTATTAAAAACGTTTTATTAAAGAAGTTTCAAAACTTAGTTTCGAAACTTTACCTAGGAAATGGTATCCACGCCGGAACCGATTTCCTGAATAAAAATAATAAAAAAAAACATTTTTTATTAAAAAACGTTTCGTTTTTAAAGATGTTTCAAAACATTTGTTTCAAAACTTACCTGGAATATTGGTATCCACGTTGGGGCCGAATTCCTATATAAAAAAGTAAAAAAAAATGTTTTTTTAATATTAAAAAATGTTTTTAAAAGTTTTGAAATATTTCAAAACTTATCTGGAATATTGGCGTCCACATTGGAGCCAATTTTCTATACAAAAATGAAAAAAAAAAAACGTTTTTAATATTAAAAACCGTTTTTTTTTATAAAGTTTCAAATTTTTTTTTCGAAACTTATCTGGAACATCAGTATCCATGCCGAAGCCGATTTTCTGCAAAAAAAAACAAAAAAAAAATGTTTTTTTACGTTAAAACGTTTTTTTTTAAGTAAGTTTCGAAATTTTTCGAAACTTTACTTAGGGAAACGATATCCACGCCAGAACCAATTCTCTAAACAAAAAATATTTAAAAAAACGTTTTTTAGTTATAAAACGTTTATTTTTTTAAGAAAGTTTTAAAACTTTTCGAAACTTTACCTAGGGAAACGGTATCCACGCCGGAACCAATTCCCTAAACAAAAAATATTATAAAAAGACGTTTTTTAGTAAAAAATGATTTTTTTTTAAGATAGTTTCGAAAATTTTTCGAAACTTCACCTGGAAAATGGTATCCACGCCGGAACCAATTCCCTAAACAAAAAATATTTTAAAAAAGGCGTTTTTTAGTAAAAAACGTTTTTTTTTTAAGATAGTTTCAAAAATTTTTTGAAACTTTACCTGGAATATCGGTATCCACGCCAGAACCAATTTCCTATATAAAAAATATTAAAAAAAAAACATTTTTTAGTATTAAAAACGTTTTATTAAAGAAAGTTTCAGAATTTTTTTTTGAAACTTTACCTGGAATATCAGTATCCACGCCGGAGCCGATTAAACAAAAAAACTATTTTGAGAAAAAAAGATTTTTTTTTCGAAATAGTTTAAACTATTATTAATAGTTTAAATTCGGTAATAGATCAACTAATTACTGTGGCTGCAGCTTAGTACATTGTATGTCACTGATCTGCTAAACTTTTGCCATTATTGATATTAATTAATTAAAAAATCGTTTAAAAATCGTCAAAAAAGTTTTTAAGTTGATTGTTTGTTGTTAATAAAAATCAATAAAAAAAAATATTGGTCGATTTATGGATTTTTTTATGTTACAACTCAACCAAAAATCGACCTAAAATCGACCAGTTGATTTATGCTGAATTTTTTCTGATTTTTGTAATTAGCCGAATGTGTGACGAATTATGTGATCGATTTGCCGAATTGTTGCCGAAAGGTCTTATTGACGAAATAAATGATTTCGACCAGTGTTTTTATATATAGAATTAATATAAAAAAGTGAATTCTGATATTGCAACTTACTTTTATTATATAAAATCAATATAAAAAAATAAATCTAATATCACAATTCACTTTTTATATAAAATCAATATAAAAAGTGAATTATAATATTATAACTCACTTATATTATATAAAATCATAGTTTCAAGTCAACAGATTATTTAGGTTATATTGATGTTACAACCTAAACTAATGCTGAATTGCAATTGCTAAACCTGATCTAATAAATTCAAGTCAACTTATTAGGTTATCTGAATTTAGTCAACCTGTTTAAAACTTTAGTTACATAATTTCAAACACTATTACTAAATCACTACTATAATACCAAAATAAATCCTCAATTCACATATTTAAAAATCATTCAGAATTTAATATAGCTAATTAAAATTAATTACAAATTTACTGTGCCATCCAATGCATTTTTTTTACACTATGAAAAGCAATCAAATAGATGTAGAAGGTTAACATCTTTAATATAAAACTAAGCGTTCAAATAGATACAGAAACTCAGCCAATTTAATACACTATAGTTTATTAATTAATATATACCAAAATATCATAGTATAATGATTAATATATATCCAATTAAATTATAATATTCCATTTCATTATCTCAAATTCTCAATATTAGAAAATTTATAGAATAGCAAAAATAATACTAGTACATTATAATAAATTATAATGTTCTAGTATATATTAATCACTAAACTATGATGTCCTAATACATATTAATCATTAGACTATGATGTTCTAGTATATATTGATCATTAAACAGTAATGTACTAAGATACTATAATATAGATCAAGTGGAATGCATTAATATATTAATATATTAATACATTTTATTACTCCTTAAATAAATTATTTTGAATACTGCTATAAAATTTTTACTTTTTTATCAAATTAGCCAGTTAGTTTCTGCTAATACTATATTTTACATATTTCTAATTATTATTTTAAATTATTAACTTTATTATAAAAAAAAATTACTAACTATTAAATTTAATATATAAATAATATAGAATTATATTTTATTAAAAAACAATTATAACAATTATCTTTTTGGTAGATATTTTACTAATAATCATTTTACCTATAGGATCATTTTATTAACAGTCATTTTACTAATAGTTTTGAAATTCTAATCCACTCTAATCTTATTTTAACCCTAATCTTAATTCCTTACCCAATTCTAAGTTTAACCTTAATTTTTATTTAACTTTAACTTTAATTCTAAATTTCTTTGTAAGTAAGATAATTATTAGTAAACCATTTGTCTGCAAAATGATCTTGTCAGTAAAATGTCTATTAGTGACCTGTAATTTTAATTACTAAATTATAATAAATTATAAGATATATTTATTATAAAAGTACAGATAAATTCTTAATCCTATTTTGGATACTTATTATAATTACTAATTACTAAATTATAAGAAATTTATTATAAAGTACTGTCAAACTGTTTTGGATATTTATAATTAATAATTATGTATATTAATAACAGGTTATTATTTTATTGGTAAAAAATATATTTGATTGACAACTGAGATTTACCATATGACCGTATGGTAATTAAATTAATAATTTTTTTATAAAATAATATTAATGATAAACATGGTTCGGAAATGAGGATCAAAAAATTTTGAAGTTAATTAATCCAAAAAAGAAAAAGTTTTTACTATTAAAATATAAGTATAAAAGCCTAATGGCTTGCCATGGCAGATTTCACATTTTTTTGTAACCCATCTAAGTCCGTTGTTTTCCGACGGTTTTTTTTCCATATATTTAACAGGGAATAAGAGAACATCATCAAGAAACAAACTTGTTTAAATTTGTACAAAATCCTTTGCGCCTAATAAAAATAAAACCATTCATTTTTTAATGAACTAATACAAATAAGGCAAAATATAACTTTTTATTAATTGTTGACGATAAAAAAAAATCACATGCTAATAGCAAAATTTATAGTCAAAAAAATTTACTAAATTAGAATTTTGGGTTAAATTCTTATTCGTGTAACGCGATAAAAAAAAAATTTTTTTTTTTTTATCATTAAAATTTTAAACAATCTGTGATTTATATCAATTTAATCTGTTTACGACATTGTTTATCTTGATGCATGCTCGCCTTGCATTATGCATATTTTTCAAACCAGGAATTATTGAAAAAATAATTCTATAAAAAAAA